TTGGGAACGATCCCAACCTCACTAGTTGGGTTATTTACTTGACGCGACCGCTTTACTTCTCATTTGAGAAGTAAGTTTGAGCGTATCAGCGATCCCCACACAAGGTCCTTCTATATTGAACTTAATGTTCTAGAGCTAAAGAAACAGTCATAATTACATTATGAAACCTTCTTTTTGAACATATGATAAAAGTCAACCATTCAAGTTTCACAAGCTCCAAAACACCAATCCAAACGAATAATTATTTGATCGAATCGTCATTCCTAGTAAGTCACAAGTGATGGTTATCGATTAGAAAAACTCTCAATTTATCTTTCATTCTTCAATTGAGTATGAGAGAAATCTAAATAAGATGAGAAAATTATAGCTTTGTGTTCAAGTATGAAGAGTTTATAAAGAGTATAGGTAAAATAGTTCATAGGAAGATAGTTAATAGTACAACTAACCTAACATCATACAAGTAAAAGTAACATGGGGTTTGAGTGTGTTTTTTGAATATTGGTAAGTATTTGGCGTTATGATTTGCTGAATCATGTTTCTCTTGTATAATTCACAATCCAAATCAACTACTATGACATGAAAAGGGTGAATCCTCAACAATTGTGTATGAAGTTAATAATTCTATTTCTATAATTTAGCCCAATTTAACTTGATACTCAAGAACATCTTCCAATATTAATCCTAATTTATATATAAAAAAAGAAATTTAATTAAATTATTCCTTCTCTATTTTGGGAGACAACACCATATTTGCTTTGTAATGTTCACTTTCATATAATATAGGGAAAATGTACAAGTACCCCCTCAACATATGCCCGAAATCTCAGAGACACACTTATACTACACTAAGGTCCTATTACCCCCCTTAAACTTATTTATAAGTAATTTTCTACCCTTTTTGGCCTACGTGACACTATCTTGAAAAAAAAAGTCAACCAGCATTGGGCCCACAAGATAGTGCCACGTAAGACGGAAAGGGGTAGAAAATTATTAATAAATTAAGTTCAGGGGGTAGTAGGACCTTAATATAGTATAATTGTGTCACTAGATTTCGGGCATAGGTTGAGGGGTACTTGTGCCTTATCCCTATAATATAGTTAATACTTCAACCTTCCATGATATACAATTCATATTGCTTCCTTAACAGCATAACATTTCCACAAATTCAAAGGAATTAACAAATCCATTTTAAAAAAATATTTGGAACCTTGCAAATCCAAATTACCTCCTCAAGAAGTATCATTTTGTGTGAAATGCAACAAAAACTCCAATAACAAAAAAGAAATACTTTTTCATTAACTCAACACTTGGATGGGATATTGAACCCTTAACCCGTTTGAGTCCCATATCTACAGTTCAGATTACTCCCTAATCTCAAAAACCCATGAAAGAACAAATAAGATGAGATTGTTACACTCATGAGAAATGCTTACTTTTTCTTTTGTAAGATAAATTAAAAGTATCATTATTCTTAGAAAACTAATGAGATAAAATTTCTCCCTGCAAAAAAATTAAGAATAATTATCGAATAGAGAAAACAGAGAGACATACTAGATGGCTTAAGCCCGTGCAAGCACAAGCTCAACGATGTGTTTTGGTAACCTAAAAAATATTTGTTCTTACCATTTGCAGAACACTAAAAAATTAGCATCATGTTATATATGAATACCCTCGCGACTACCTATTTTTTTTTCACTTTGGCCTGACTACCTACATTTTTTCCATGTACTGAAAAGGGCAAGCAGGCCACTATTAACTAATATTGTCCTTTGCAAAGCTTTAGTTTTATTTTCTTTATCCACAAGATTTGGATAAAGTTGCATTTAGGTCGCTAACCTAATAATAAAATGTGAAAGCCAACACCAAAATATTAAAGTGTTACATGTATGAAGCTCGTTGTATGCTTCACCAATCACAGCAACATAAATAGATAACTATACATAAAATATAAACCTCTGTAGTCAAATATGTATTGAGAATGCAGCATGTGAGATAATAAGTATGTGATCAATGTATGGATCTATAACAAATACCACTTCTTCTTCGTTGTCTGGGCATTTGGAACTGTTCGCAGTTGCGGATGAACTTCAGGCTTTCTATGAGTTTTAATTTCTGTGTCAATTGGCACCACAATAAACTCAAATTGGCCAGCAAAACAAACCATCCAACCTAATACAAAGAATAATAATTACTATGTAGAAGTTCTAAGCTTACTCCAACAACTATATCCAAAAGGAATTTTAGCCCCATAATATCTTAATTCATGAAGGACCAAAATCGATTTGCATATTGGTGTTGTTGTAACCATTCATTTTCTAAATGCATTCTTTTTTAGTCTATACTGATAGAACTGACTTGGCGCATTGGACATAAGAAATAGAGCATATCCACGAAACATGCAAGCATGAGAACAATCAACTAAAGTTCGTTCACTGTGCTTAAAGGACTGCAAATTGTCAACTGCCAAAAAAGAGGGGAAAAAAAAGGAAGCCACCACCATCCACCTCACTCTGCATTTACATGACCAATTGCTAATAATGGGAGGGAAGAAATGAAAATAAGAACTTTTATTATCATCTGATTACTCATCTTCATGAACAATATGTTATTATTCATAATTATTTGTACTAAAAGTCTACCATTGTCTTCTAGTACAATTTCTTAGATATGGAGTAGTTATTGATTTATTATTATCTCTAAATCAATTTCGAGAACTAAATTGTGTACGTAGTTGTGTTTGTATCCATAAGAAGATGTTGTTTGTAGCACATATCAAGCTTATAATTAGTAGTCATATTATGCTTTCATATACCGTTAAATGAAGTTGCTTTAATGGCTACGACCTACAATGACACCAATAGAAAAAAGAAATAAAATTACAAATCGGAGAAGGTTTCTTACCTTATAAATAATGATGAAATGGTTAGCTGATAATCCAATCACAAACTCAAATCATCATTTTACCACCTCAAAGAATTTTCATTTCCATTTCTGAAACAATGTTGTAGATATAGGACAATACATATTAATTGAGACAATTTATAGTCGTTGGTTGGTTCTTCGATAACTAAAACTGAATGTCAATATCAAAATAATAGTAAGTTGAATGCGGAAGCAGGATAAACCTAAAGGTTAGATTTTTGTCACACCAATTCAGACTTTTTACCATTTAAAAAAATATTTTGTCTACATGTCTTTCTCTTTCATATGAGAAACTCACTTTTCATGTAAACAAAGTATAATAACATAGTCAATGTAATCCACAAGTGAGTTCTGTGGAGCTTAAAATGTAACTACCACATATAGGTAGAAAGATTATTTTAGAGAGATCTTTCTGGAAAATTTTCCAGTTCATATAGGGGGACCATCTCAACATCATGATGTGAAGATGTTGTCCCCTTTGCAACATAAGTAATAATTGGTGATACCTAGAATAAATCAGTAGGATATGTACGACTTGAACTTAGACTTAGACTTGCACATGAAATGCAAGACTTGGACTCCTCCTTGTGTCAGCAGTTCATTTTATTTCGATTGCAATTGATTTGTTTCTTCTTTTTAATGGTTCTTTGGTTGTTTACATGCATTTTGGATTCTTCTCATATTTAAACTACATGAAGTTATCAACCCACATTTGAAGTTAAGAAAATCGACAAAAATAACATATGGAAATGAAAGCTTCAAAAAATAAAATTTAAAAAGAAACTTTAACAGGATTATAGAGAGACAACAAAGAATTACCTCAAAATTGAACCAGTACTGGGAGAATATTGAAGATGAAAAAGTTGTACTTGGAGAAGCTCGAAGATGAAAGGTTACGGAGATAATATATATATATGAACAATCAAAAGCAAAGATTGATTATCCAAAATTTACAATTAAATTTCGGAATGAAGAGCAAAAAATACCCTCAAATAGGGAAGGGAAAATTGAAGACGAGTAGAAAATAACAACTGAGAAATACCTGAAAATTGCAAGAATACTTTGAGAAGAACAAATATGAAGCCTGAAATTCTATTGCCTAGGCAAAGGATGAACAAAGATAAAAAAATAGTGCTTGAAAGCCACCTTTAAGGCTGTAACAATTGAACATCAAAGAAAATAGAGGGGAAAAGGTAAACCTAATAAATCAAATTAAAAAATCGAAGATCAAAACAGATAGATGACGAAGATAATAACCTTGAAATTGTATTTTGGATAAGACTGAGAATGAAGAGTCGTGTAGTAAAAATAGTCCATCTCCTAATTCGATTGATGAGAGTTGGGTCGGTGATACGTAGCAATGACTAGACAATTACGTGGAAGATGATGAGTTAGGGGAGCGAATTGAAATGCTAAAAATACCCTCAACCAATGAAAAGAACACCTCAAGCAGACATGTTGATACCTTCAACTTTTACTCACACTTCTAAAATAGTAGAATTTTGAATTTTGCTTAAGAATGCATAGTTTTTATTTGCTTATTATTACATTTGTTGAGCTATGTTTTGTTTTCCTAAATGGTGATGACTTTTTGAAAATATATTTGATAATATTATAAGAATATTAAAAAAAATTGACCAAATATTAAAGTTTAATTTATAATTATAAGAATTTGAATAATAATTTAGCCATATTTTAATTTTATTTTAAAAGCAAAACAAGAGCAAATTCACTAGTATGACATAATTGCTAAATCAATTAGCTTTAATTGATTGTAGAATTATTTTTCTAAATGAAGTTTAAAAATGATATATTTAGGATGATTAAACTGCAGGGACGTGCATCAATCAGTTTGGTTCAATCTTATGTATTATCGGTTTTCAATTTTTAAATACACCAAATCAATAACCAAACAATCAAGATATTCTTTTATTGATTTTTGGTTTTTGATCATTTAGTCTTTGATTTAACTAATTAAAATGTTTATAAAATAAATATATGACTTCTCTAACAAATTTAACGCGACAAGAAAATAATATTATTTTATAAATGTTCATAAAACAGAAACAATGATAACTTATCTGAAAAGAACTATACAAATGTAACACAAAGAGAAATTAAGAGAAACATAATTATTACTTTAAATTTGACGTGTTATATAATGTGAAATGTGAATTGAAGACTAAAAAATAAAAATAATAATTAGTAACATATTGACATTAATATTTAATATTTATGGATAAAGTAGAGATAGTATACTTCCATCTTGATGGATTATCGTTTACCAGCTAATTTAATACTATTAAAAACAAAACTAAAGCGATAATCCAATTAAAACAATTACTAAATATTATATTCTTCCAAATCAAACAAATAAAATATATATAAATCAGAGAAATAATAATTAAAATATTAACATTTTAAATAAATATTAAAAGTGTTGATATTTTAAAATTTTTCTATTAAAATAAGGGATAAAACAACACTTTTTTTTCGATTCAATTTATAATAGGTTTAATTTTTTCAATTCGATTTATGATAGGTTTAATTTTTACAATAAATATGTATGATTGCAAAGTGGTATGACAAGCCCTAAAAGTAGGAGGTGAACCCATACGTTAAACCAAAGGAAAGAGCACAACATTTTCATATGAAATTGAATTTGTTTGTTTGTTTGTTGTTTTACATGAATCTCCGGCAATGAATAGGGCGGCGTTAATCAGCTCTCAGGTTAACCCTATTCACATAAGGGCCTCTCTTTTTCATTCTTCCCCAATCTTGGAACGCAGAAGACGCACACATTGGGATTCTGTAAGTCTCTCTCTCCTCTCTCTCTCTTCTATGTGCAACACAAGCCAATTGTCATTTCAATTCTATATTTTCATCAAGTTTGCTCCTTTTTCTTGTTGTGCAGGGAAAAAGTGCCAATAAAGGCTCATCAAGGGTAAATACGCTATGTTACTTCAATTAGATTTTTTATTTGCTCTAAATTTTACGTTTTCCTTCAGATTATGACTAGTGGAATTAAATTTAATATTGCAAAATAGCTATCTCCCTTTGGTTTGGTTAGGTTAGGTTAATAACATTACCTTATTGTTTTAAGTTTTATTTCTTCTTGACATGGAATCCCCAGAGTTTAACATGATAAACTAGCAAAAGCTTGTGCATTTTTAAACAAATTAGTAAAAACTTAGAAGTTTCCTGTAAATGAAATGTTAAACAGAAAAAGAAATCCAGAATGTTTACTTTCCGTCTTAACTTGTCATGCATCACACAATTCTTGAGTATTTTAACATTCTGTGGTTGGCATGGCTGGTTACTTGAGCATTTTGTGTATCTGAATTTCGGAGCCATAGCTCATTCATGTTTAACCTAGGAACGGTTGAACTACTAGTAATATACAATAAATTACTTGATTTGTCTTTTCTTCTCATTGCACAATAACAACATACTCCGTGTAATCTTGCAAGTGTGGTTTGGGGAGGGTAGTGTGTACACAACCTTACGCCAACCTTGCGAGTATAGAGAGGTTGTTTCCCATATAGCTTCAACTCAACTAGCGCATATCAAAAACCAAGAGTTGAGCAAATACAATACTGAAGAAGTCATATTGAAAAACAATGGAGAAGAGAACAATAACAACAACAAATAATAAGATAAATAGCACAAAGGAAACAAGTAATACTAAAATCAAAGAATAAGTAAATAGGAGAGTAATAATAACAATACTGATAAGGAGTCTAGACAATGCTTGACTACCTACTAGCTTTCTAGCTTTCTGCCTGTGAGGAATTTTGGAGAAGAATATTACTGAATTGTTTTATGTATACTCTACATTATTACACGAAGAACTTATTTTGTAAACACTACAATACAATCATTTACCAAATAGGATACAATATACTATTCATATTTCTACTATAAGTAGGATTGTGTATACCTATTTCTATTCTAACACTACCTCAATACACGACCTCCAAATCTTTCTATTCAGGGTCATGCCTCGATGAGTTGCAAGTTTGTTTTGCCTTGTCTAATCACATCTCCCCAAAATTTCTTCAACTACCTCTACCTCTCTTCATATCCACCAAACTCAACCTTTCACACCTTCTGTTGGGGCATCTATGCATCACTTCACATGTCCAAACCATCTCAGTCTTGCTTCCCTCATCTTGTTGCCACGGAGGCAACTCCTACCTTATCTCGGATTAGTGTTGTCAAAAGCACTGAAGCGCCTACTATAAGTGAAAAGAAAGGCGAAGTGACAAATCATTTTGCCCAATGTCAAAATGCAAGTAAAGGTCTTCTTAGCAGTGTTCTGTCTACATGATGTTTTGCTACTAAGTAGCTTTCGCAATCATCCTAGTACACCAAGCCTAAAAATTAGCTACATGACATAAAACTTTCTTTTGTACTAGACTAAAGAGGATGGCAATAATACTCTTCCCTGCTGCTTTGGTTGACTCTTGGCTTTAGGAAACATAGTGTTTAGGGTGGGGTTTACCTAAGTCCAGTGTTTTGGACGGCGAGAGGCGACAAGGGCCTGCCTTGCCACGCCTCGCCGCTCGCCTTTTTGAATCAAAAGGCGCCAATTAATACCAAAAATCAAAAACATTTAATTGCACATATAATATTCAAAATTTCAATAGCAATTACATACATTACAAATACTATATTAATTTCTATAGAAGAATTAATTTTTTTCAAAAAAATAATGGACAACAGTCACAACACAGTGAAAGCAGAAAGCATTTTACAGTAATCCGGGACAAAACAGAGAGTAAAGAAAACAGAGGAAAAAAAAGAGTAGTGAGTGAAAGAGAAAGAGACGAATGGAGCAGCAACCTGAGGGAAAGAGACGAATGGAGCAACAACTTGAGGAAAGAGATGAAGAAGAGAGCAGCGACTGAGGAAGAGAAGAAGAGAGCAGCGACTGAGGAAGAGAAGAAGCAGCAGCGACTCGAGGAAGAGAAGAGCAGCAGCGACTTGAGGAAGAGAAGAAGAGGAGTACACGAAAGTCTGATGAAAGATTGAAAATAGAAAAAAAAACTAATATTATTAAGTTGAAACTTTTTTTTTAAAAAAATCAAAATGGCGACGCCATTTATGTCGCCATTGGGTCGCCTCGGGTCGCCTATTTGAGGTCGCCTCGCCTTAGTGGATAAAGGCTACACAGCCTTGCCTCGCCTCGCCATTCGCTAAAGGCGCTATGGCGAGCGCCTTTCACAACACTGCCCAAGTCTAATAAATTAGTTTCAGGGTGGGGTTTACCAAAGTCAAATAAATCTGTAGGCTGTTGTCTTAATGGGAATATAGGCTTTGAGTTGATTGGAATTCATAGATTGAAAATGATAGTGTGTTTCTGGATGTAAGACACATATCTGTCATGTTACTCACTGTCAAAAAATTTATGCTCATCTTGTGATTAAACTGTTGCATGGGCTCATTCTGTGGGAATCGCGGATTTTCAGCATATATGATGCAGTTTTTCTGGGTGTTTAGAAGCCAGAAAGATTTTTTTGGTTCTGAATGATGTTTGCTAATTTTCTGTTAGGGATGTTCATGGTCGGATTTGAGTTAGTTTTTGGTTAAAACCAAAATCAAACCAATTTAGTCGGTTTTTTAATTATTAAAACCATAAACCAAATATAATTCATATTCATTGGTTTGGTTAGGGGGTGTAAGAAACACAATGATATTTCACTCTTTCATTTTTCTCCTACAATTAAAAAAGAATTTTTCATCCCTTTCCACCTATAATCTGTTATTAACGTTTTATTGTGGTAGCTATAATTTTATTGGATTATGGAGAAAATATCTTTAGATCTATTAGCTTTAATCAAGTGAATAAAGTTGATAAGAAATATTAGAGATATAGAAGCAAATCTCATTGTTGTTTCTTTGAATAGATGAGTTTGGATTCACGACTTTGTTAAGGAATTAGCTTAAGGTGTAAAGTTCATTAGCCTATTAGATATAAATAATTTTTTCATGAAAATTATGCAAAGTATTTAAAGTTATTTATAAAAATCAATATACTGTACTCCCTTTGTTTCAATTTGTTTGTAACAAGATTTTTAAATTTTGTAGTCTCAAACTAAAGATATTTAGGATGTACCAGAATTTCAATCTTTGATTTCTTAAACATGTCCGTGGAAAATTGAAATTAAGGGGATGCCTTTGGGAGCCAAAAGCAAATCCATAGGCATCTCGAATGGGGTGATTGAAAAATGTGAAAAA